GAGAAGGCCCTCCCCCTGGGGGTCGCCAGCCGACATTGCTTGGCCGACGGCACCCTGAGGAGGCCCACTCTGTGGGAGCGTACCGGTCTGAGGGAGGGGATCTGCGGCAGAAGGCGGTCTCGGAGATAACCGGGTCCTATGCCATGAAGCGCTTTAAAGGTGGTAACTAACACCTTAAAGCGCACCCGGAAGGCCACTGTCAAGAGGACAGTGTCAAGAGGACAGTGTCAAGAGGACAGTGTCAAGAGGACAGAAGCAGGTAAATCAGATCTTAGTGCTGCTAGGTCTTTTAGGCCCACACATTTGGGTGTATGGCTATGGTGTTCATTGGTTAATGAATACAAATAGTCCTTGGCTTACAACCATTCGTGTAGTGACTGTTCAAACAGCAGCACTGAAAAAAGTGACTTATGACTGGTTTTCACACTTCTGACCGTTGCAGCATCCCCACAGTCATATGATCAAAATTCAGCCACTTGGCAACCGGTTTACATTTATGACGGTTGCAGTGTCCCAGTGTCATGGGATCCCCTTTTGCAACCTTCTGACAAGCAAAATCAATGGGGAAGCCAGATTCACTTAACAGCTGTGTTACTAACGTAACAACTGCAGGGATTCACTTAACAACTGTGGCAAGACAGGTCATAAAAATTGAGCAAAACTCCTTTAACAACTGTCTTAGCAACTGAAATTTTGGGCTCAATTGTGGTCATAGGTCAAGGATTACCTCTATCGCCTTGTAAGGCCCTAGGAGGTTTATTCAGATTGGTGGTTGAATCTCAGCTACACTGCTTATGAATTGCCAGGTGACGATATGACACGGGAACAATTGGGCCTGCAAATGTTTAAATGTGGAGCATACTGTGTTAAAAAATGAGGTGGAATGGAACAGGCTGCATAATGAGATAATTAAGCTTCTAGTCATGGAAGTTTTGTAAACTGTTTAGCTTCCTTTCAAATAATCTAACTGTTTCTGAAGTATGCATTGCAGTTAACTAAATGTATTAGTGGAGCCTTCCTATTTTAATATTTTCTTTTTCTGTATAGTTCTTCAACGGGTAAGCCTGAAGATTGGCCACAGGACATGAAGGAATATGTCCAGCGTTGCTTCACTGCTTGTGAGTCAGAGGAGGACAAAGACCGCACAGAGAAGCTACTTAAGGAGGTCCTACAGGCCAGGCTGCAGGATGGCACTGCCTATACCATTGACTGGAGCAGGGAACCATTGCCTGGGTGAGTAACTTTGGGAGAAGAGGTGAAGTGCATAAATAACCCAAATAATCTTAGTGAGTTGTATTTATTTCCCTCCTGATAGTATTATTTTAAGATAAGGAGAGGCAAAAATATAAGTAATCAACTGGAGAGTGATGAACATTGTCACTGACTGGAGATTTGAATACAGGTAGTCCTCAAATTATGACCATAATTGAGCTCAGAAGCATGGTTGTAAGTCATGCAAGTCATTAAGTGGGTCAAGATGTGACCATATCTGTTTTGTTACCTTTATTTCAGCAGTCATTAAGCAAATCCATTGTCCACAATGGGCATTTTTGCCAGAAACAGTCATTGGTTTTCAGCAAACAAAATCAGCATAATAACTTGTGGTCATATGACTGTGGGACACTGCAAATGATTATAAATGGGCTGATTGCTGGATGCCAAAAATGTGATCATGTGACCGCAAGAGTGCCCTGATTGTCAGAACTTTGAATGTGGGTCATAAGTAGCCCTTGGGAAGGTCTGTCATAATTTCAAACATTCACTAAGTGACCAGTTGTAAGTCGATGACTACTTATAACTTTCTTACCTCTATCTAACGAACTAAGAAGGGGAGAATGCTTGGAAGACCAAGATTTCTGTTCTTTTTTTCAGGATGCATTTTCCTTAAGCGGCAGATAAGGCTAGTAGACTTGATTGCATCTAGTGGAGTTAGCACACAACACGCTCAGCTTTTTTAGCTGGTGTGTATGTTTAGAGTTTTGAGTGCATATAACGGATGGCCTAGTAGTTGGCATGGTGAGTAGCTTGCTCATTCACAAAACCATTTCCTAAGATTCAGCAGATCTGTTCTTCTTTCTACAGCTTGGGCCGAGACAACTTGTCTGAAAGCCCCAAGAAAAAACAGCAGCGCTGGGAAGTGTCTTCTCTCCACTCGCCATGTGCCTCTATGCAATCAAGCCTTGCTCAACAGCAGCAGAGGAGCGGGGGCGGCAATTCCCAGCCCCAGCGAGGGGGAGGTAGCGGAGGAGCTGGGACTGGTCGGACTCATGGGAATGCCTTCCCCACCAAATTTGGAAACCGCAATGTTTTCATGAAGGAAAACAGCTCACCCTCAAGTGTTGATTCACGTTCTAGGTCAAGGTCATCATCCCGATCTCCCAGTCGCCACTTCCGAAGAAGGTAAACAACGGAGATCAAAGAATAGAATATATTTGTGACAGTTATCTTGGGGTCTGTGCAGTTCCATTGGTTCTACGTTGGAGGTATCACTTCATTCCTTGCATATGTGCACAGCCAAGGTGATTAAAACTCCCCCTGATGAATGAAGGCACATGTATGCATCCCAGAATAATGTTGCAGGATCTAATCTGAGTTGGTTACCAGGACCAGAGGTTTAGCCTTCCAAGCTTTCAGACTTGTGTTAGAGCTCATCCTCAGGGAACTTACTAAAGCTCTGCTTCTGGGGACCGATGCAAATTGGATCCTGCAAAGCTTCACCTGTTTGATATGAACATGCCTATTACACTAGAGCTAGAAGTTTCAGTTTTGAAACAAAAGAGAAGTTACAAACCAAGACTAGTGGAAGCCTGTAACTTTACAGTTCAAATAAAATAATATTGTTCATTTTATCGAGCTTTTTTTTTGGCTGATTAAAATAATACCAGGTCTTGAGTTTAATGTAACAGCCAAAGGTAAATCTTTTCTTCATCTTATATAGTGATTCAGATTCAGACAGCTCCTATTCTGGAAATGAGTGTCGCTTGGGTGGCCGTCGGAATACTCAGAAAAACCGAGGGCGTGGAGGCCACATGGATAGAGGGCGGATGAGAACACAGCGAGGAAAAAGGCAAGTTGCACGGGGAGAGGGGCTTCAGTGTGATTGCTAGTTGCTAATACGTGATTTGGAAATAGAACTTGTAAGAGTGATTGTAAGAAACTTTTAGTTTTTGACCCTCAGAGAAATGGAATCATGCAAGAAGCAGTGCTGTACTCAGAACTGTTATGCACAAAGTCCTCAGTGCATGCCAATCCTATTCTGCAAGATCCTTAGGGATTTTCAACAATTCAAGTGTGAGACCCAACCCAGATTTAATACAGTTTTATTAAAGAGATTGTTTCCTACTGACACATGTGATTACTTGTATAGCAGATGTGGCTTTTCCTTGAAGTATCATATGTCATGGTTCCGATGCTAGGACCAACAAAATCCGAACTCGAGGCTAGAGGTTTCCTCAGAGAACATGTTTATTGGTTACAAAATATCGGCAAGGTCAAAAGTGAAACCAAGTCTGAAATTCCCTCCAAAAAGTTACGTTACTACAAAGTCAAACTTCCCACCCCAATGCTTTGCACTCGGCTCTCTTCCTCAATAGAATAATTTGGCAGGCTTTGTAACAAAATGCCCAATCCCTTAAGCTAACTGATGAATGACCTTGGTTCCCACGGGACCCAGAATTGTTTAGCAAAGACACTCCGCACCCCCTCCCTTTCTTGTGGCAACCTAGAACGAGCAAGAGGGCTTCAGCCAGGTTCATTGTAGAGTTGACATCATACATTTCTTCAGAAGTTTCAGTTTTGGCCTTACATTCATACATACTGAGGAGTCATGATGGCACAGTGATTAGAATGCAGTATTGCAGGCTGACTCTGCCCACAGCCAGGCGTTCGATCCTGATCGTCTCAATGTTTACTCAGCCTTCCATCCTTATGAGGTCGTTAAAATGAGAACCCAGATTGTTGGGGGCAATATGCTGACAATTGTAAACCGCTCAGAATGCTGTAAAGCACTATGGATAGGTATATAAGTCTAAGTAATATTGCTATACATACATGTAATCTTAAAAAGTCTTTCCTGATTTTGATTAGCTTAGCTGTCTTGGGATTTCTCCAGCTTCTCTATGCATTTCTGGTCTTTTTTTTTCTTTTTTCTTTTTTTAGATTTCAGATAACAAATCATTCTCTTATGGGAACAGTCCACTTCTCCGTCAAGCACCTGCGTTACCTTGGCATTCTTGCAGGCTCTCACCGTCCATGAACGGCTTCTTAGAATCCCGTTTTCTCCTGCTCTTTCTACCCCTCCCCCCTTTTCTATGGCAAGTTGGTTAGTGATAGAAGCTAGCAGGCATCATAGCGATTCAATGTTGACAGCAGCAAATTGAGTGGAGGACTTTTGGAAAGGAAGGGAAAGCATAGAAAAGATGCACCTTGCTAGGCGACTGGTGGTACTCGGGTGTTGCCATATCCTAAAAGTGGTACAATGGGTGAAAAGGTTGAAAAGCCCTGTCTTAGAGACCTCATAAGTTCCTCTTGCCTTCTTGGCATCAGTTGTAAGTTTCAGTTTTCCAGCTCATTGCATTTCTTGACATAGTTCCTTTGCAGCTTTTTGACTCCATCTTTGCCCATTCTGCTTCCTGTGACATTTTCCCACTTCCATTCATGCCCTAAAGTGCTTATGTTGAGTTTAAATTGTAATCTAGAAAGAGTGCAGAGAAGAGCAACAAAGATGATTAGGGGACTGGAGGCTAAAACATATAAAGAACAGTTGCTGGAATTGGGTATGTCTACTCTAATGAAAAGAAGGATAGGGATGACATGATAGCAGTGTTCCAATATCTAAGGGGTTGCCACAAAGAAGAGAGCATCAATCTATTCTCCAAAGCACCTGAAGGCAGGACAAGAAGCAATGGATGGAAAGTAATCAAGGAGAGAAGCAACCTAGAACTAAGGAGAAATTTCCTGGTTAGAACAATTAATCAGTGGAACAACCTGCCTCCAGAAGCTGTGAATGCTCCAACACTGGAAGTTTTTAAGAAGAGATTGGACAATCATTTGTCTGAAATGGTATAGGGTTTCCTAAACAGGTGGTTGGACTAGAAGAACTCCAAGATCCCTTCCAACTCTGTTATTCTATTAATCAGTGAACAAAGATACTACAGCATTAATGATCATGAAGATCTATGATTACAATAATTTGTATAAAACAGTTAACACAAATACTCCTAACTATTGCTTGGATGATTACATAAGGGTCTTAGCAACACATCCAATTCAACTCACTCTCCCTCTCCCTCTCCCTCTCCCTCTCCCTCTCTCTCTCTCTCTCTCTTTAAATTTTTATTTATTCCTTTTTCACTATACAACAAAAACAAAATACAAAATACATTTTTTTCCTTAACAGTACTGTGTTATACATCTCATATATGTTATTTACAATTATTTACATTAGTAATCATATCTTTTTATTTCTCTGTTCTAGCCAATCATAACATTTGTTCCATATCTCGTAAAATTCTGTTGCCTCCTTGTCTTTTAGTTCTAGCGTAAGCTTGTTCATCTCTGCACATTCTAGTATCTTACAGATAATCATATCATTTGTAGGTATGTTTTCACATTTCCAACACTGCGCATATGCAATGTGTGCCGCTGTTGTTATGTGTACAATGATGTATTGATGTTTTTTCATCTTTGGATTAATTATACCTAATAAGAATAATTTGGGTTTAAGTTCAATTCGTTCTTTTATTATCTCCTGTATCCAGCTCCTTATCCGTTCCCAATAGATCTTTGCTTTAGGGCACAGCCACCACATATGATAGAATGTTCCCTCCTTATTTTTGCATTTCCAGCACTCCGGATTCATATTTTTGTACATTTTAGCCAATCTCGCCGGTGTTAAATGCCATCTATAGCAGGGCTTTTCAACCTTTTTACCGATTGTACCACTTTTAGGATATGACAATATTCGAGTACCACCTAGCAAGGTGTCAAAAACTTGATGACCAAAAAAAAAACCTGTTCAAAGTTGCAGTTGCACTGAAATGACTTGTGACCATTTTTCACACTTATGACCATTGCAGCATGCCCAGGGTCATGTGATTTATATTTGGATGCTTGGCAACTGATTCATATTTATAATGGTCACAGTGTTCCAGGGTCATGTGATCCCCTTCTGCAACCTTTTGACAAGCAAAGTCAATGGCAGAGCTGCTGGTGGCCAAGTGCTAAGGCGGGACTTCCTTTCCTCCNCCCTTCCCTGCCTCCCTTTTTCTCATTCCCATCTCCTTCTGAAGGAAGAATTTGAACCCCCCCCCCATATTTTCCCTCTTCCATATATTGATCAAACAAGGAAAGGCCTCCAGAGACAGAAAAGACAAGCTGCTGAGTGAACTAGCTTAAAAAGGCACATTCCCCTTTAAGAATTAACTACTGGCTAGAAAGGAAAGTAAGGAGCGCAGCTGGCACTTAAGGAAGAAAAAAAATGTAAGTACTGGCTGCCGGCTAAGGCAGCCTCCCCAAATGGCTCCATTCATAAGTAAAGGAATGCTACAGGCAAAATCCATTCAGGAGAAAAATACTTCAAAATCCCTTGCAGCAAAACTTACAGCTAACAACAGCAGAGCAATAGAAGCTAACATGAGACATCAGCCAAATAGAAATTGCTAAACACTCGTTAAGAACACAAAGCCCACATTGCACAAATCCCAGAACTTCAAAGTCACAAAAGCACATAAGAATCCTTCCACTCTCCATCTCCTTCCCTTGTGCCTCACCTCTAGCCATTGCTGCCTTTTTTCATTCCTCTTGGAGGGTGACCCCTCCCCCGCTGCATTTCTTGCCTGTTTGCTGCTGCCAGCACAGGTGGCTGCCACAGCAGTTGTAGATCGGCTCATGGCCAGCCTGCTTGATCTCCTCTCCTCTCCCCCCACCCTCCCCCTTCGGTGCAGCTGACTCCACCTCCTCCCAAGGCTGCTGCTTTTTCTCTCTCTCCCTCTCCTGCCCAATCTGCCTCCTTTTATAGGCTCTCCTGTCTCCACCCCCCTCCTCCTTTCTCATGGGGGAGGGTGAGCCAGAAGTGAGCCTGGGGCATTTGCAGCTCCAGAGGACTCTCACTGTAAGTCCTTGCCTGTGCTGGCTCTTTCCCTCCCCCACTACACTTGGCTAGGCAGGGCTGCGTACCACCTGCCACTCATTAATGTACCACAAGTTGAAAAGCCCTGATCTATAGAACATTTTATATTGATTTTCCTTATATGCAGTTGACAATGTCAGTTTACAATTTCTGTTCCATACTCTTTCCCATTCTTCCAATTCTATATTTCGGCCCACATTTCGTGCCCATGCTATCATTGGCCCTTTTACTATTTCTTCCTCCAAATCTACCTCTAGTAAATATTTATAAGTTTTTGTTAGAAATTTTCCTTCCTTACCTGTCAAAATTTTATCCAATTGCTGTGGTGTCTGGTTTATTCCATGTTCTTCCATATTCTTACTATGTTTAGATTGAATCTGTAAGTATGGCCACCAATCTATAATTATTCCCTGTTCTTCTAATTCTTCTCTTGATTTGAGGTTTCCTTGTTTATCTAATAGTTCTTTATATCTAATCATCTTTTTTTATCCAATGTGTTAGGGTGAATCATTGCCTCAATCGGTGAGGTCCAATTTGGGATTTTCATATAGTGTCTCTTTTTAACTTTTTCTCACGTCCGAATCAGCGCATCTCTTATCTGATGCTGATAGAAATATGTGTGTGTTTTCTTGTATTTTCCCCATAAAAAGGCATGCCAGCCAGCCTGCAGGTCATGCCCTTCAATCATTAAAACCCTTTTGTTGTCTAGGTTTATCCAATCCTTGATCCAGACTAATCCAGCTGCTTGGTAGTAAATTTCCCATTTTGGGAGCCCAAGTCCACCTCTACTTCTACTATCTTGTAACATTTTCATGTTTATTTGTGCTTTTTTGCCCAACCAAATAAATTTGTTTGTTATTTTGTCCAATTCTTCAAAAAAAAAATTTCTCTAATTTTATCAGGACTGTTTGAAATAAATATAATAGTTTTGGTAATATATTCATTTTAATCAGCGCAATCCTACCTAATAATGGTAATTGTAATTTCCCCCAGGCCTCAAAATCTTTTTTCATTTGTAATATCAATGTTTTATAGTTGTCCTCTTTTATTGAGGAACATCTCTCTCTCTCTCTATTCAGACATGATCAAGGTCCTCCCAAACGCAATCGGAAACGCAACACTATGGATTATGAAGACCCTGAAAAGGAATTCAAGAAGGAACGGAGGGCAGCCCGCTTCCAGCACGGAGCCCATCCAAAAAAGCTGCGTCTGGAACCTCTTATCCTACAGATCAATGCTCTTGACACCGTTGGCTCTGATGGCCTTGACTGGAATGAGCTGAAGATTGTAGGCACCTGCCAAGATATCACAAAGCATTACCTGCGCCTCACCTGTGCCCCAGACCCCTCCACTGTCCGGCCTCTCTCAGTGAGTAACCGCCAAGGGGAAAGCAAAAAGTCTTTTCAAAGAACCTGCCTACAGGTAGTCCTTGACTTGCAACAGTTCATTTAGTGACTGTTCAAAGTTACAATGGCACTGAAAAAGTGACATAACCGTTTTTCACATACTTATGACCGATTCAGCATCCCCATGGTCATGTGATCAAAATTCAGCCGCTTGGCAACTGACTCGTACTTATGATGGTTGCAGTGTCCCAGCATCATGTGATCAGCTTTTGTGACCTTCTGACAAGCTAAGTAAATGGGGAAGCAAGATTCACTTTAACCATGTTACTAATTGAACAGCTGCAGTGATTCACTTAATAACTGGACCAAGAAAGGTCATAAAATGGGGCAAAACTAACAACTCATTTAGCAACAGAAACTTTGGGCTCAGTTGTGGTCATAAGTCAAGGACTGCCTGTAGTACGTGTTTGCTTCTATTTTGCTTTCTATTTTGACCTGTCCTTTTTAACAGTTCTGAGTTGGTTTCAAGGCAATAGGCAGCGATAGGATGTGAAAAATTCTTAAGAAAGGAAGTGGAAGAAGAAACAGATTTGCCCAGCCAGGCGTGCAAGAATAGAGACTGTGTACTAGACAGGATGAAGTGGTACAAAAAAGATATATACTCCTTTACTCCTATCCTGTGCATAACAAAGATCCACTCTGCTTCTCTACAGCATTGTTTTGTCCAGTATTCATGTTTTAAAGTTAAGGTGGATGGGCAGGCTTCAACTTGGACTGATGAATTGCAGACTGACTATTTTTTTTACTAGTAGGTAGGAAATGACAAACCGGGTGTGTTCTTTCGGGATGGAAGAACTGTTAAATATAAATTCTGTCAGTTGCCTTGAACATTCCTTGGACAGAAAGTGCAGGCTAATCTAGGAGAATAGTTATGCCATTCTGCAGTCTTGGCAATGGTCATCATTCCTCCATCAGCAGTTCATGTCTGTTTGTACAAAATATTTTGTTTGTCCCTTTTTGAAAGCTCTTTTTCCTGGGCAAGGTCCAGTCTTATTCCAGAGCTGTTTTAGAAGTTGATTAATGTTTGCCAGATATCTTTAAACTGTGCTTCCCTCTTTTCTTCCAGGTACTTAAAAAATCTTTATCTGCAGTGAAATCCCACTGGAAAGAGAAGCAAGATTATGCCTATGCTTGCGAGCAGATGAAATCAATCCGGCAGGACCTTACAGTAAGCCTGTTCAGGCCTTGGTGGGGGGCAGAAAGATGTGGCTCAATTCACAATTTGAATGCTAGCTATAATTTTCTAACCATGATTAGACTTAACCATGTTAAGTCACATGTGGCTGTCTTCATGCATCATTCAAAGCCACAATTAGCAAAGCCAAAACAAACTAGACATCAATAGAATATGAAGCTGGCCACCACTGTGATAGTTGGATTAAAATGTATCTCAATATATTTGGTTGCTAGTTGTCATTTTGAAGGTGGAGAAGTTAGAGGAACTTTAGCTACTTTAGAATAAGAATTGGGTTTTTAAATTAGAGTAGAGCTTTATATTGTAATTGGAGTAGAACACTCCCTCCCCCCCTTTTTTTAAAAAAGGTTGGAAAATGTCTTAACGGTAAGATTTTTAAATCGGAGGGTTTCAAGCTTTTTCATGCCATAGAAAAAATGATCAAATTTAAGATTTTGCTGAGTTGCTAGCTGACATTTGTGAGTTTAACTCAAATTCCATAAAGGAAAATCAGCTACAAAACCAGTATTTTTTAATGTTAGAATGATCTCTGGTTCTTTACCTGGTAGCTTGTTTGGTTAAACCCAGCACCAGCCCATTGTGAATAGAGTAGCCTTGATATGACATTAGTGAGACAGTATCTTAAAAACTATGGGATTAAGGTCTGGATTTTAATGTGCTTCTTCTTGAGCCACTCCTTTGTTGCCTTGGCCATGTGTTTTGGGTCATTGTCATGCTGGAATACCCATCCACAACCCATTTTCAATGCCCTGGATGAGGGAAGGAGGTTCTCACCCAAGATTTGATGGTACATGGCCCCGTGCATTGTCCCTTTGATGCAGTGAAGTCCTGTTCCCTTAGCAGAACCCCCCCCCCCCAAAGCATAAGGTTTCCACCTCCATGTTTGATGGAGGGGATGATGTTCTTGGGGTCATAGGCAGCATTCCTCCTCCTCCTCCAAACATGGCGAGTTGAGTTGACTCCAAAGAGCTCAATTTTGGTCTCCTCTGACCACAACACTTTCACCCAGTTCTCCTGTGAATCATTCAGATGTTCACTGGCAAACTTCAGATGGGCCTGTACATGTGCTTTCTTGAGCAGGGGGACCTTGTGGGCACTGCAGGATTTCAGTCCTTCACGGCGTAGTGTGTTACCAATTGTTTTCTTGGTGACTATGGTCCTAGCTGCCTTGAGATCATTGACAAGATCCTCCCGTGTAGTTCTGGGTTGATTCTTCACCGTTCTCATGATTATTGAAACGCCACGAGGTGAGATCATGCAGGGAGCCCCAGACCAAGGGAGATTGATAGTTATTTTGTGTTTCTTCCATTTGTGAATAATCGCACCAACTGTTGTCACCTTCTCACCAAGCTGCTTGGCAATAGTCTTGTAGCCCATTCCAGCCTTGTGTAGGTCTACAATCTTGTCCCTGACATCCTTGCACAGCTCTTTGGTCCTGGCCATGGTGGAGAGTTTGGAATCTGATTGATTGATTGCTTCTGTGGGCAGGTGTCTTTTATTACAGGTAACAAGTTGAGATTAGGAGCACTCCCTTTAAGAGAGTGCTCCTAATCTCAGCTCGTTACCGGTATAAAAGACACCTGGGAGCCAGAAATCTTGCTGACTGACAGAGGATCAAATAGTTATTTCACTCATTAAAATGCAAATCAATTTATAACTTTTTTGAAATGCGTTTTTCTGGATTTTTTTGTTATTATTCTGTCTCTGACTGTTAAAATAAACCTACCATCACAATTATAGACTGATCATTTCTTTGCCAGTGGACAAACGTACAAAATCAGCAGGGGATCAAATAATTTTTTCCCTCACTGTATGTACCTGATTTGGGATCACTGGAGGGCTTTCAGATAATTCTCAACTGACAACTGTAATGGAGCCTGTCCATTTACATTATTTATTTATTTATTTATTTATTTGATTAAATTTATATACCGCCCTTCTCCCGGAGGACTCAGGGCGGTGCACAGCATATTAAAACAAATAACAATAAAATACCAGAATAAAAACCCCTCTAAAACCAAATTAAAAGCCAAATATTAGTAGCTGTGTAATAATTAAAATTATATTAAAATCATCCCTAACTAAAA